TCTCACTAAAGAAAATATGAGCCAGTTATCAGCACTGATGAATCTTCACTGATAACTAGCCAAGTTTTATCACACGCTATTTCACCTGTACAAGATATCCTTCAGTTTTCCTCTTAAGGCATTATTTATGCCACTCTATGCCAGGGAATTAAGCTCCTCTTACCAGTAGCATGCCCAGTAAAAAAACCAAACACGTCCTTTGATAAACAGGATCACACAGAAACAAAGTTATCCAGTCCAATCTCCTGCCTGAAGCAGGACCAGCTTCACAGACAGATCAGGGCCTCATCAAGCCAAGTTTGAAATCTCCAACAAGGAGACTTCAGGACAGCCTGTGTGCATGCACTATCTAGAGGCTTTTTTTTTTTTTAAATACATCAATTATCAATTTAGCTACTGAATGGAGTAGGTAAAATCTCTGCATTTTCCCATGGAATTCAGCATTTCACCTTGGCATTAGCTGAAAAATGCAGTCAAACTGTTTGATGCCATGTTAGAGTTTAAAAACAGAAAGAAATACATATTTGGCAAAATTACACCTGATACAAGAGCCAAACATGGCACTTCCAGAGGAATTTTCTTCTCTTAGTGACAAGAGCCTTAGCAAAAGGAGGGCCATAATCTTCCCCCCACCCCGTTCGTTTTTACCGACAGTTCTCCTTAAATCTGCATTTGTCATCCAGGAAGAACGGGCAGGGCTTCAGAGACTTGTGTGTGGGATAGAGATACAGCACTCGGACTCCTGCACTGCCATCCTCCAGGTATTCCGTGCCCACAATCATGGCATTATGGTACTCCAGGGTCCCCCAAGAACTGTAGTATGGGGCTTTAACCTTCATCCCACTCAGTTCCTCCTCCTCCTCCTCCTCTCTGTCAGACTCCTCCTCTTCGCTGCACTTGGAGTCACTTTTCCCATCAGTTTCTTCGCCTCCCTTTGACGGTATCTCCTCATTAGCAGCTGAAGGTTCGTCCTCAGTCCCGAGCTCGGCAATAGCTTCCTTAAAAGCCGCATATTCCTCATCCTGGGCAGAGCTGCCCAGCTCGACCTCCTGCTGCGGGGCACTGGCGGGGCAGGAGGAGGCCGCGCTCGTGTCGAGCGTCGCCAGGAGGTTGCTCTTCTTCACGGACACCAGGCTGGCCTCGGTGAGCTCGATGAGCTGCCGCAGGTCCTGCCGCAGCTGCAGCAGGTCCGTCTGCGGCGCGGGGTCCAGGCCCAGGGCCAGCTCCACCTGCTGCAGCTGGGCGCGGTACGTGCGGATCGCCGCCTCCAGGCTCCCCTCGTCCATGGCGGCGCCACGGGCCGCGTCGCGCTC